TGACCGCATTATTATTTCTTCTCACCTCTCAGGGAGGAGGACGTGGCCACACAATGTTAAACCTCACTTGATGCATGCAAAGCTCACAGGGTGGTTTAAGGACCCCATTCGTAATGTGTGCAGCGACCAATTCGAGTGGAAGCATTTTCTCTTACCAAAAGCATTACCTGAACTTTTGCCGCTGATAAATACGTGTTTAAGGACATCTGCGATGTTTAGCCCTCGTGTCTCATCTTGAGTAATTGTGGTTTAAAATTGCAAGCATACTTCCCACCTACAAATCAAAATCTTAACATACTGTATACATTAAACCCTTAAGTTCGACCACCAACTAAATTTCCACTGTATATATAAACAGAGTGGTTTCATTGCCATTTTTTCTTTGAGTTCACTCTAACAACATGGAAAAGCATTGACAGACTACAATGAACAACCCTCCATCTGATTCTGCAGTGTGCAAACAACAGTTCAAGCAGAGGTAATGATAATAGTGAGATGTCTTATCAGAGCTTCTGATGTGGAAAGTCTGACCAGCATTCAAATCAGCAAATAAGGCGTAATTGCAGACGGGCTCATTCAGGTCTTTGAGGTACACATCTTTTCCCATCAAAGAATACGGGCCGGAGAGTATCTGTTTACAAGCTATTACTCACTTCCCTCTCTTGTCGGCTTGTTGTCCACATTGCTCTATCTTTTCTGTAATTGCGCCTTATTATGCCGGAGTGATAAGGGAACGATGAAACAGGGACACCGCCTCTCATGTAAACATTTGGATGTGATTTTGGCTTGCGTTATCTTAGCTGTTCTCTCTCAGTGTCTAATGTGTCTGTGTGTGTGTGTCGGGTGGGGGGGAGTGTAGCTCCATAGAGGCTGCCACAGGGGTGGGGTGAGTGTGGGGAGGGTGTTGGGGTAGGGGAGTGGGGGGTCACAAGGCCCTAATGGATTTAGCATCGACTATCACCCCCCCAACCATCCCCAGTCATATCCAGTCCAGCCCCCCTCTCTCTCTCTCTTTCTTTCTGTTAGGACTTAACCTCATTTGTAGCCTCTCTCTCTCTCTCTCTCTCTCTCTCTACCCAGATGCGAACACGTCCCACCATATGGAGACATCTGATAGTTGTACCCACAATGCAGCTGTGAGAACACAGTCTGTGGGAAAGGAAAACAGTGAGAGGAAGAAAAGTTCAACCTTTAGGGCGAGAGACAGGGACAGAGAGAAACACAGGCTCGAAACAGTAAAAAAGTCAAGGCAAAATATTTTCTTGAATGTTATAAACTGTGAAGAGTGTAGAAATAGTGACAAAGTTTTTCATAAATCTTGTGAGATATTTAAAATTAAAACACATTTGATAGGTAGTCAACAAATTTTGCCCTATTTTTACAAGACAATAACACATTTAAAAATTTTCAAACTCCAGGTAAAACTAATTACACCTCAAAGTCACAAAATCCTTCTCACATTTAGACTGAAGCTTGAACTTGTGAACTTCCTCGTTGTAGCCTTCATAAACCGCTTTAGAAATTATGGGTCATCAGAGTCCTGTACTATTAAAAGAGAAGTGAACCCTTGGTTAAACACGGTTCTAAATTTACTGAAGCTCTTTCCTTTTTCTCAGCCTCTATTTTAATGGCAGTCTGGTAAGCTCCTGTTTTTTTCTTCTTTTGTTTGGTTTTGTTTGAGTGTGTGAATCAGACCAGACAACATAGAAATAATTGGGAAAGTGTGATGCAGAGTGAAACTGAGCTCTGGAGTTTGTTCATACTGAAACTAACTGGTGTTGGACCGAGGGGTTGAGAGCGTCTGAGAAAACCCCCCGTCCCCCAAAAACACAGACTCGCAACAGATCGTGACCTCTTCCTCTTTGCAGGAATGATGATTTCCTGCCTTTAAAGTTAGTTAGTTTAACTTTCTTTAAAGGCGCCACCATCTTTGCTGCAGACTGACTGCCTCCTTGTGGCAGTGAGAAATAGCAGCTGAGCCACATTGCTGAGGAAAACCAGTATGCATCTTCTGCCTCCACTCGTCCGTGAGGGTCCGTGTGACAGCAAAATTGACCAACATTGTGAGCAAGTGCTGTCTTGTATTGTCAAGATGAAAACTACTGATATATGTCCTGGAAAAGTCCTGGAAATGATTTCTTGAAATGAGTTTAAACTCAGAATATTGAAGGTGTAATAATGTAAACTTCTGTAAGTGTTACATGTATATATTTATATATCCATGGCTTCACCCAGTACTGAACTGGAGGCAATCATGTCTGAAGCCGGTTATTAAGTTAAGTTATTAAAATTTATTAATTTCTAAATCCCTTCGGCGTGCTGCCTGTATGTACTACCCTAAAATTAAAGATTAGATTTTATTTTTTTTTATTTCTGCAGTTCCTAAAAAATTACAGCCACTAAAAGTTAGTTTAAAGAATGTATAAAATAAGTCTTTATAGTATTGAGACTCAATCGGCTGTAGAGGAATAAATTGACTGTAACTGTTTTAAGTAGAGTCTGTGAGTTCCATCTACCAACTCCGATAACCTCTGAATAAAATCTGTTGAACTCCCTCTGCCAGCTGACCCCTGATCTGTTGTTCCAGAGTGGGCCAGTGGTTTGTCTAACTGTGTGTGTGTGTGTG